AAATGTATTGATTCTATACAATTGGATATGTTTATACATACTTGTGGGACGTGCTTGATGACTTCGACTGGGCGATCTACGACTTTTTCAACGACTTTCTCAACTGTGTACGGCTGTTTAGGGAGGAAAAAAGAAGAGATAATGGGATATAAGACGATATCTCGATGAAGAAAATGAATTGATTCTATACGATTGGATATGTTTATACATACTTGTGGGACGTGCTTGATGACTTCGACTGGACGATCGACGTGTTTAACTACGACTTTCTCGACAACCTTTTCTACTGTGTATGGCTAGAATTACAGAAGATAACAATTTAGTTAGGCAGAATTATATAAAACTACTTGTTGAGTAGAAACCAATTAAAGAACAGCAATACTTACTTTGGGCACTGGGTATGGACGGTCAACGTGCTTAATGACTTGGACTGGGTACGGTTGTGGTACTGGACGGTCGACGACTTTAGTTTGGACGACTGGGTATGGCTACAAGGCCAGGAAGAAAAGTGGTTAGAGCCGAGATCAATATTTTGCTCAAATTTGCAAAAGCAACCAAAATTTCAATTCAGCACACTTGATCAATAGAAAGAACACTAATACTTACTTGGGGGACTGGGTATGGACGATCAACGTGCTTAACAACTTCAACTGGGTATGGCTATAATGAAAAATTGACAATTCGACTTGAATAATGGAATAGAACAGGTGTTTTAGAATCTTACTTGTGGTACATGAACAGCGTAAGGTTGTGGCACAGCTACTGGGCGTTCCACGACTTGGGTACGTGTTTGAACAACTGGGTATGGTTGTGGAACGGCATATGGCTGTGCTACAACTTTAGTTTCAGCGCTGTGGGTATGGGTGTGTGCAGCTTGGGCGACTGGTGCACTTGCAACGTATCCGGTGTGTGCAGCGAATGGAGCACTTGCGACGTAGCCAGTGTGTGCTGCAGCGAGTGGAGTTGCTGAGACGTAACCGGCAGAGTGACCAAGACCTGAAAATCCGAGTGAAGAGTGACCAAGACCTGAATAGCCGAGTGAAGAGTATCCTTGAGCGCCATGACCCAACGAACTGTATCCTAATCCAGAGTAGCCGCCACTGTATCCTCCATAGCCCAAAGAGAGTCCTCGTTTGGCGTGTTTCTTGTCACTTTTTGCGGCTTCTTCAGC